TGGGGGGTGGGGGGATGGGGGGGTGGGTGATTGTTGAAAGCTATAAAAATGATCTATCTCTATTCACTTTTTTGGCACTACTCATACTCTTACTTGACTTAATTTTAATTTTTCATTTATCGTGCAAGCTAGTGTAGATTAACTTTAGTTGGACAAAGTACTAGCCTTCGAAACTAAATTTGCTAATTAAGGCATTTTCTAGATAAAGGAAAGCTAGGCATTAGCCTTGCTATCATTTTAATCCACATTAAATTTCCAGGTAAACAAATGAGTGGGTGATCTTTCAGTAGCAATTGTAATTGAACCCTGGCCTCTTCAAATTTCAGGAATAACTTTTTGTTCCTTATGGATGTTCCTTATGGATGCATGATTAACAGTTCATCATGGGAAGATTCGATAAGCGGATCATACACCCTTCATTTCCAGAGTTGAATCTTGATATTCCCAAGAAAGTTCTTGGATTATCCTTGTAAGCACACCGCATGAGAGGTCCTAGATAAACCACTTGATATTATAAGTGATTAGCTAATAGGAATTTCTAGGCAATGAAGAAGCTAAGAAGGTTGCTGACAAGGTGTTCCATTGATCTGAACTTTAAGCTTTGCTTTCTTACTTGGCAGTCTCTATTATATATTGTGTGTTTAAGCGAAACGTTTAAATCCTTGGACACAATTAACAATGGGATAATTAGTCTAGAAAAAGTAAGGGTATGTTACGCTTCTTATGATTGGGAGTGGCATTTTAACAGGTGTAATCCCATTGCAACGCACATGCATATGTGCTAGTATTTTTTTTAAGTTTGTTACATTTCAATAATAAAAATAAAATAGCAGAATGAGTCCTTACCTTTCAATATGTAAATTTAAATGAGAAGATGGAGCTAATCCGGATCGGATCTCATTTCAGTTGATATACCAACTTAATAAAACACTGTGCCAATAATAAAAAAAAACCCACAGTAAGCTCAAACCAAAAGTACATCACATGCATGGTATACTTGTGTGGTTATTACTTTCTTTCCCAAGCCTAGGATGAAAATCCTGACTCCTTTGATGGCTAGAATTAACCTTTATTTTATAGTGGCTACATACCGGTAACATAAATTTACTTAGAAGATTTTATTTCGTTACATGCATGATTTTGGAACTAACAGTAATTTCTCCTTCAGGCGCACAGTTAGTCCAAACACCTCTGTCATATCAATGTCTTTCCTCTCAACCCCTATTGGCAGTTCCCAGTTGAAATGGTACATCAAGTTTGCCAACATAAGCTCAACAGTCATGATTCCAAGGTTTATACCAGGGCATATCCTGCGTCCTGCCCCGAACGGCAAGAGTTTAAAATTACTCCCTACAAAGTTGACATGCACATCACGGCCTTCCTCTGTAAATCTTTCAGGTATGAATTCTTCACTTTCCTCCCATGAGCTAGAGTCTCTACCAATGGCCCATACATTGACAAAGACATGCGTCCCAGCAGGAATCATGTACCCATCGATGCTGCAGTCAGCCATGGCAAGGTGTGGAGCAAGTAAAGGTGCAACAGGATGAAATCGGAATGACTCCTTTAGGACTGCTCTTAGGTATGTCATACTGCTAATGTCGGCTTCATTAACAATTTCCTGTCCCTGGGGTTCGATACTCCTTACCTCGTCTTGTAGCTTCCCAATCAGGCGGGGCCTCCTCATGAGCTCAGCCATTGTGAA